TCTTTTCCTCCCAGGCTTGTCTGGCTGTTTCTGACCCTTTTCTATGGGTTCCTGTTGGAAGTTGCTTTAAACTTGTGGCTTTCAGGTCTTGCTTGGGCCAATCCCTTTTGGGTGGACTTTTACCCCTGAGGGGATGGGTAACTTTTGGGTGTTTGATTTAGAAGCTATTTTCTTAGTCTTTTCTGCACTGTACGCTAATTGCATTAAAGTTCCTTTCCATCAAAGATCTTACATGTTTGTCTTGATGCGGAGGATGGCAGAACATACTTAGAACAGGCAGGTTTGGGGGGTTGGGGTGCCCCTGTGCCTTCCTTGTAACACTTCCATTTCCTGCATCCCTCGCTTGCCAAAACAGTAACACTTTTCTATGGCAGCATTCATCCTTGTGAGAAGGAATTTTTAAAAAGTTTAAAAAGATGAATAACAGACTTAAGTAGCACTAAATGAAAAGGTTCATACAGCCTGTGTGGGTATCCCAAGCCAGCTGTGTCTGGCCTCGAAGGGATGATATTAGGTAGAAGGAAAATAAATGTCTTAGGCTCTGAAGCCCAAATTTCACAAGCTGTCTCTACCCTGTATTGGGATAGTGCTGTTGTGGGCAAGCACAGGGTGGGGGTGAGAATATCCTCTTCATTTGTGGGGTTCCTATCTCCAGAGCACAACTTCCAGAAGTCTCTGCTGCCAGTGAGATGGGGGTTTCATAATTTGAAGCCCTTCCTTCTTGTGAAATCTCCATGCCATTGCCTCCATCTAGAAAGAACCAGGAGTATGATTTTAATCACCCAAGAAGTTTACTTGCATGGGATGAAATGAACAAACTGGCAGAGATTACTGTAGAGATAATTTTATTACTTATAATTTGGGTGAAGAAATAAATTTACAAAAACTTTCTGCTGCCTACAGACCTAAAGGAAAAGCAAAATTGTCTTATGAGAGTAATATTTTATGAAGTAAATGATTATGTAATTAGAATGGCAAAGTCCTGAAACATTTATGCAGAATTAAAAGTGTTGCCATACATTATCACATTTTGTTATCAAGTCTGATAGTCTTTAACATTTTACACTTCAGCCTCAATGTACAGTACCCTTTGTGCTCCCTGATCTATTTAAAGGATCTGAAAAATAGCATTTGTTTTTAAGTGCAATGCTTAAAACTTCATGAATTGCCAAGAAAAATAGTTCATTTTCTTTTAATTAAGCAATAGGTGTTAATATTTACAAATGACCTGCTTGTTGTGAAGTTATAGGTGAATATTTTACCATTTTGTATCTTTCATATATTAAATAATAAGCATATATTACATTAGTGTTTTTAACTTTGGGAGATGTTGAAAGTGCAGAGAAATGGAAAAAAAAAAAAAAAAAAAAAAAAAAGGACTACTGGATGCCAGTATAGTAGAAGACAGGAATTGAATCTACAATGTATGCTTTAATCAGGTAGTCAGCAATCTGGAAATTGGGAGTTAACACCCTCAAGAAATTGCCTAAACATTTCACTTCCAGCTCGCTTTTTTTTTTTTTAAGATTTATTAATTTATACATATAGAACTGGGGTACAGGCCAGAGGTGCAGTGGGTGAGGATTCACCAGCAACAGAGTAGGGAGCAGAACAGGCAGTTTGACTGAAATATACTTATGAGGGGAGCAGCGTGGGAGTCAGGAGAGTTCTGCTACATTCTGTGGGTCAGCTCCTTTGCAGGGGGATTGAACTCTGCAGCAGTAGCTTCTTGGTGCTGTGCCTTAATCTATTGTGGCATCAGGGAGGGCCCTGGCTTTTTTTTTTTAAAGATTTATTTATTTATACATACAGAATGGGGTACAAACCAGAGGTGCAGGGGTGGTGAGAGGTTTCACCAGAGACAGAGTGGGGAGCAGAACAGGCAGAGGTACATTGCCTGTCAGGAGAGGTCTGCAGGCCGTGTGGATCACCTCTGGGAAAGGGGTCAAACTCACACTAAAGCTGCTGTGGCTTGCTTGCAGTGCTGCATCTTAACCCGTTGCAACTGGCTTTTTTTTTACTTTTTAAGATTTCTTTATGCATAGAAGAGCTGGGGTGCAGGTCAGAGGTGTAGAGCTGAGAAGATTCATCAAAGACTGAGTGGGGAACAAAACACTGAAGAGGGGAGCAGCAGACAAGTCAGGAGAGGTCTGCTGCACCATGTGGTCACCTTCCTGGTGGGGGTTGAGGGGTGGATGTTGAACTTCTGCTGCAGTAGCTGCAGATTGCTTCATAGTGCTGAGACTTAACCCCTTGTGACACCAGGAGGCCCCCCAGCTGACTTTTTTATTAACTCATTGAACCAAGACAGTTCAGCAGTAAGTAGGCCTTCACAGCTGCCAGGAGCTTGTGATGTCAGCCTCTGAGCTCCTTACTGCCCTCCTGGACACCGGCTGCATGCTTATCCCAATATGCTGAGGATGGTCTTCAAATAGCTTATACTCCCTGCAATCTTCCAGATGTGTCCACGGGCTGGAAAATTAACTCAGGGCAGACAGGCCACTACGTATGTGCAGATTTCCTACTACACCCATGCATAGTGTCTTACCTGATCTCCTCCCCGACCCCTTATCATAGCAACCACTTGAGTTGCCATAACTCAGAGTCCAGATATAAGCAAATGTTAACAATTAACAAAGTCATACAAAATTAGAACAGGAGCCTCCCAGATAGCTCAAGGGGTTAAGTCTCAACACTATAAAGCTATCCACAGTCACTGCAGCATTTTGGGCTAACCCTGTTTTATTGGGCATTTATCCACAAGGGGATGGGTAACTTTTGGTGTTCTACTGAAAAACTATTATTCTTTATTCTCTCTATGCATGTTATTCTATTAAAGTTCTTTCACACAAAAAGTGTGCTTTGTCTTTATGTGAGGGATAGCAGAACCTCTTTAAAATGTGCAGGTTTGGAGGCCCGAGGGTTCTCCTCAATCTGCCCACTACTAGTGTCAAGCAATAATATTTTATTTAGCTCTCAATTCTGCAATTTAAGTAGGGCTTAGTAGGGAAGGCTCATTATTGCCCTAGGTAGTTTTATCTGGAAGGTAGAAGATCTACTTCAACAAGGTTCACCCTCATGGCTACTTGTGACTCGAATTCAAAATGAATGTAGGCGCTCCTGCCTACTGTGACTATACAGGTGTGACTATATAGGTACCTCTGTTTTTCTTTCTCCTTTTCCAATTGAATCTGTCCTTTAATAAACAGGATGAATGTCATGCAGGACACTGAGTGACAGGGCAGAATGAAGGTATCCCATTCTCTAAACTTGCCTGCTCTAAAAGGGTTCTCCTATCTACCACAAGACCAAACATTCTGGTGTGGCAGCCCTTCAGTAGAAATGAACTTTAATATGGGCCCTCCCTGGTGGTGCAACGGGTTAAAGCACAGCACTGCAAAGTTAGCAGTAGCTGCTTCACCACGAGTACCACGAGTTCAATCTCCTGCTAGAGAGGTAACTCACATGGTGCAGCTGACCTTTCCTGTATCGCCTGCTGCTCCCCTTAGCAGTGCACTTCGTCAATCTGCCTGTTCTCTTCCCTGCTCTGTCTCTGGTGAATACTTTTACTGCCCCTGCACCTCTGGCCTGCATCCCAGTTCTGTATGCATAAGTAAATCAATCTTTAAAAAAAAAAAAGAAATAAACTTTAATATGATTAGTGTGCAATAAAGAGAAGAGAAAGAATATAGTTAAAATAGTTTCTAATTAAACACCCAAATTTACCCACCAGGGTAAATGCCCACTTTAATGAGGTTAGCCCAAAATGGGGCTACTGAGGTCCAAAAACTTGTCTGTATAAGTCTACAGAACCTTGCATAGTCTAGGTTCTGGCAGGGAACCATAGGACAGGTGCAGAAGGGGCCAGGCATATCTGGAAGGAAAAGAACAAACTCGAAATCCAGCTCAAGATAAAGACTGCCATTAACAGTCTCACCGTAGAACTCTCACTCATGTCTTTCAAGTGTCTCTTTCCATGTTCCCCCAAATCCCTGGTACAATTCAAAGGCTGAGAAACAAATGGCTTCCTCACGTTTCTCTGCTTCATGTGCCTCCTCCATGTCGTTTCTTCCTTCCAGTCCTTCTGTCTTCTCGCTGTTCAGCTCCTTCCTTGGGTGGGGCAGAGGAACTGGAGCCCCATCCTTTCTATGGATATCATCAATCACACCTTTAAGTCTATGAGGTAAAGAGGACCCCCTGGGTGCCTGATCCTCTCTTACTCCGTATTCTTATTACTCTCTTTCTCCAATATACATTTTTTTGAGAAAGACAACTTCAGTTATTGGAGGCTATATAGTTTGCAAAGTTCAGGGTAAAATAAATGTTGGGACCCTTTGTTCAAAAGTTGGGGGGAAAACTGCCACGAATGACACCAAATTATAACTTTTCTTTTTCTTTAATCTTCTGATTCATCATGGCATATTGTTCTTGTATGTAAAGAACGATTAAAATAAATTAACATCACGAATTTTACCATTCATTTATATAGCATGCAACATCAGTTTTAAACATGACTACAAGACCCCATTTAACTTGTACATGAAATTATCAAAATTACCTAATTCATATTTCATAGCTCATACTTGCGTATGTATTTTGTTTTGAATAGTAAGACCTTGTACAAAACTAATCTGTTTTTATTTCACATTGATCTTTATGCTATAATTTAAACCCTACTATTTTTATTTCTTTCAAAAGAGAAAGTAGATTGTAAAGGTAAATAAGAGATCTAAATGGCTACTTCCGTGGGTACAGAATGGTCAAAATGTCTTGGAACTAGGCAATATGGAGACTGCACAATGATTTTGCTTGAGGTGTGTATGGTCTAACAACACAAGTCGCTTTCTGATGAGTGGAGAATGACTGAAAGGGAAGGAAAAAAAATGTGTTGTTCTATTCTCTCCTTTCCTTCTCTGTCATCATTTTCATATGACTAACAAGGGATTAACAGGGGTGGAAAAGAATGTGTTGGATTCCTTGGTGGTTTATATCTCTTTTATTCTGGATTGGAAATAGATTGTGGCTCAAGCTGATAATATGGCCTCTGGAGGCTGTCAGGCCTTCCTTCCTTATTCATCACAGATTTAATACCTACCCTACAGTTGCTTGGAGTCTCTTAGATCTCCCACAAGTGAATGAATCTGTGGAAAATTCTGAGTCTTTTCGATTTCACCAAAAGTTTGTGCAAAGGGGACCTGATGAATGATGTCCTTGTCCCGTGGACTTCATCTGTGAAACACAAGTTCAAAGATAAAATATTAGGAATTTAAGAGCACAACAGTGAAGCAAAAAACCAAGTGTTAAATCTTTCTGAGCATAGAGTTCTGTGCTACTGTGTATATTCATCAACCCCATTCTGGTTGCAGGGCTCAAATTCAGCCTTCTCAGGGTAGTTTCCAGGTCGTGAGGAAAAGGCAGAGCCTAGGAAATGCTGTGATATTTAGGGACATCACTTGGAATTAAAATACATTTTTATAAAATAGGTTATTTGTAAATGAGATGGGGTATTCCCATTGAAACTCTGTCTGCTCCCTTCTGTAGTCTAATTTTCTAATTTCCTTTTTTATTCTATCGCTTTAGTTTACTCTAAGCAACAGCTGATATTTAGTAAAATACATAAATCTTCTGTAATAACTTTTAAAAGTTTAATATTGCGGTTACATTTTTGCTTTTCCATAACATTACAGAAAAGCAAAAATTAAAATTTAAAGATTTCCAGGCCCTTCCTGGTGGCGCAGCGGGTTAAAGCACAGCACTGAGAATCTAAAGCCGCTTCCACATGAGTTCGATTCCCGCCTGCCCCGGAGGTGACCACATGGCGCGGCAGACCTCTCCTGACCCGCCCGCTGCTCCCCTCAGCAGTGTACTTCGTCCATCTGCCTGTTCTGTTCCCCACTCTGTCTCTGGTGAAGCCTCTCGCCGCCCCTGAGCCTCTGGCCTGTACCCCAGTTCTGTATGCACAAATAGATAAATCTTTTTAAAAAAAATTTTAAGATTTCCTTTTTAAACAAATTTGACCCATTCAGTCTTACCTGTCCCCTACTTGTCCAACCACATAATTGTTATCATGTAGTTGAGGAAAGAGTTCTTCATGTAGGAACAAATAGTGCTTGTGGCTACAGAATAGAAGGAATTGAAAGTTTATTATTGAGACAGTATCTCAATAATATCTCACAGAAAAGGTGTATAAATTGTGAGTAGAGGGAGCATGTGTTTTCAGACAATGGGACCAGTGATGAAAAGCTTTAGGAGCATTTAGCATATTCGCCTGATCCTCTCTTACTCCGTATTCTTATTTCTCTCTTTCTCCAATATACATTTTTTTGAGAAAGACAACTTCAGTTATTGGAGGCTATATAGTTTGCAAAGTTCAGGGTAAAATAAATGTTGGGA